CATCACACGTGTAACATATGCACAGAAACGTACATAAGGGTTTACGCATACTGCATATACATGATATTATAGGTGGCTTTCAGGCAATGCTGTGGAATACAAGGGTTCCTTCGGACTAATGGAGTCAAATTTAAGGGGGATTCTTTCCGACGAAAGCCAAATCAGGTAGATCTTTGGAGGGGGGGGAAGCATATATATGTATATATATGTATACCTATACATGTATGTGTGTGTTTATATATGTGTGTATATGTGATATGGATTATTCCAACCTTAGCATGAGACTGGTTCTTCAGTCATGATGCTTGACATTCAAGGCAATGGACTCGTAGATGCTGCAGGGCTCTACGGCAGAAGCAGCTCGAAGACGGATTGATTCTGCTTTCAGCTCGGAGTCTGGAGGAAATTTGAGACACGGTGAATGCAAACAACAATAGCTGGTGCACACGCAACACTGATGCATGCTGTGGCCGTCTTGGCATCATCAAGCTTGAATAGCGCAAAGGAGAAGTTGGAAGCATGATTAACCCGGATTCATCAAGGTGGCCGAAGGCAGTTCAGGTTTTTGCCAGCATGCTCGCGTAAGCACCGGGCGACACCCTGACTGACTTCCGCCTCTCCCGTTTGCAGCCTTAGCTCTTTCCAAGAAACACCCCCCCCCCCCGCCGGAGATTCCACGCATGCCGAAACAGGCCTCCTGTACTTCTTGTGAAGCATGCAAGCTGATGAGCCTGAGCCAACCCCGCCCAGAGATGTTGCGGAGCTTGGCATCCCGAGGCCGTTGCTGCAGCTGGAGGAGGGCACCCACAGGAAGCTCGAGCCTTCTGCTGCTCAGGGGAGTCGGAGTCTGCTGTGAACTTCAGCTGAAGCTCAGGCCGGTGTCGAAGAGAAGCTGGAAGCTCTGCCGGCTTGGTCCCACCATGACCTGCACGACTGTGGGTTTCCACACTGAAGGCGACGGTTACGGCCCATGCCTCTCCGTAGTAGACGGGAGATTCTGTCAGGCCAGGCTCCTGCCACGGAGCCCCACGGCTGTGTTTGTTATGACTCCTCCGTCAGCTCCGTGTCCTCAGGGTCAGCAGCCGTCACCGTGCAGCCCTTGAGATGCAAGGAGACCTGGCAACGCCAGGGCCATGGCGATTCATTCCACTCACACGGACTCAAGCGTCTGGCATGGCTCTCGGCCGACCCCACCAGAGCCGCATGAAGAGCGGCGCTGACCTTCACAAGCTATGCGAGGGGGAACTCTTGGCATTGCTTGCAGAATCTGGCAGTCTTCTCATGCAGCAGCGCCACGAGGAATCCGAGCATCTCTGCTTCGAGGGGGAACTGAGAACCCCGGCCGGCTGCGGGCGGGAGATTGAAAGCACTGGAATCACACAGAGCAGGCGCAACGCTGCAGAAGGCAGGCACCAGTTGTGCTGCAATGCCACCGTTTTTTCCGCGAGCATCTGCGTGGCAACTTTGGCCTACTCACTTGGTGAAACACCTAAGAGCCTACGAGTAAGTCGTGAAACATCAACTCCTCGTTCGTCCCCTGGCCGGTTTTGGCACACCGCCGAAAACCTGCTGGCGCCGGATATGATTCAAGCTGCAAGGGCAAGCGAATTCAGATACAAGCATTAGAAGCATGGCCCCCAGCCTTTGCCTCGTAGAGTTGTTCTCCACGGCAGCTCATTCTCACGAAGGAGCTGGAAGCAAGGGCTTTTGCTACCTGAAAACAGATATTTCCCCGAGCCCGCATAGCGAGAAGTCAAGGCCGTGACTGTTCAGGTCGCAGGTCTCGCCCACAAGTTGTCCCCTCCCTGTGCCAATGGAACCAATGAAGCCTGGTGGCACAGCTGAGTTCAACTGGTTCAGGCAGTCTGGGAAAGGCCTGCAAGCTTTTTGCCACAGGCTTGTCCTGCAAAGAAAACTTCGGCTCACCCACGACCCGCGAAAAACATGCAGCCATGCGTTTCAGGCCTTGCGGGACTCTGATCGCGGCTTCATGCGGGACTCTGGCGGGGGCCTCAAGTCTTCAACCCGATTGCAAGCAGTCCACTCGTGCCCAAATGGGAGTTTCCCAAAATAAGGGGTACCTTATTTTGGACTCCCTATAATAAGGATCCTACTATTTAGAGTACATTTTCGGAAATCCCAAATCATGAACACTATGACGGCAAGTGCAGTGACTTTGCACAGAAAGCGGGCAGTGACAGCAATGATGACACATGATGCTGTCTGAAGGCTGACGGGCCAAACAGTGTCAAAAACAGATCAAACGCCTGGGATCAGAAACACTTCAAAAAAGTGGAAAAAAAACAACACAATGGCATTTCTCCTGGAGGGTAGAATGAAGATTCTCAATACTACCAACTTTGGGATCAAAACAAAATCAAACAGGGATCAAACAATTCAATCAAGGATAAGGCTTTCTGCTGTCCAACCACTGTCGCAGCGCTGCGGCGGGGTTGACGCTTGGGTAATCTTGTTTTCCTGGTGTGGGGTGGAAGGGCTTGGGGGAGAGAGACGCGGTTCCGGAAACCGAACAACCGTAGTAACAATGATGGTAACCATCATTAGAGTAGGCATCGGCATTGGCGTCATCATCATCATCATAGCAACAGTCATGGCAACAGTGACAAACCGTGATAAATGTGAAAGTCCGGGTGATAGTAAGAGTAACAGTAAACGTAATAGCAATATAGCGACTCTAGTAGAACATTGAGATAGCTCAGATGACTGTAGGAGTTGAAGTAACTGCAGCAGGAGCGGGCGCAGCAGCAGCAGTAGGGGACGCAGACGTAGATGTTGTAGCTGGGTGCCAGGCGTCTCTGGCTCCTCCGAACCCGAATCTTGCTCTGCTTCCACAACTTCACCAGCATAACCGGCATAGTGGTTGTGCGCAGTGGGACGTCTCGGGCTTCGTGGGGCGGCTTGAGAGTCTCGTCTCTGCTTTGCCTGGGCCGATGCCAGGCCGCAAGTCTTCACCTCACAACAAACTCCGAGGCGCCAGCTGCGCTAGGGTGGCCTGTCAACTCGGGAGGCGCAGGAGGCACAACTCCAAAACAACTCCAAACGCACGCGGATCGAAAACCCTGCCTTGAGTAGACTGAGTAGACCTCGCAGACGCATGGAAGCCACGAGGAAACGGTGCCGCTCGAAGAGTACAACACATCTTGGGCAAAAAAGCATGGTTTCCCCTGAACCCTAAACACTCCCAAGAGTCCCAAGTGAGCTCGGGCTTGAGCTTGGCTTGACGGGCACCAGGACCCGGCTGCACCTCCTCGAGAGTGAAAGGCGAAGCTTCCAACAGAGGCCGGATCAACAATAAAACCTATTCTAGTATGTGATGCTACCGCATACTGTACTATACTCTACTCTACTCTACTATACTACTAATGCATATTTTCCTATACTATACTATACCATACCATGTTATGCTATACGATATAAACACTATGCTATACTGCACTATGAATGCAATATAATGCAATACGATATAGTGTACAACAACCCGGTATCTTGCATCATGACAGTATCATTTAATACAATATAGTGTCATATTAGACCACATAGTACCATATAACATCATACCATATCATACCATGTAGTCTCATATAAAGTCATATAACACTATGTAACATCATGTAAGTCCTGAAACATCATATAAACCATATAGCAACACGTGAGGCGATGCCCACAATATATATATATATATATATATATATACAGATATACAGATATGTATATATATATATATATATAGATATATATAATATTACCATATCATATCATATACCTAGCCATAGAAATCCGTATAAGTCCTATTAAATCATGTGCTTGGTTAATTCCTAGCTGCAACTGTGGGACGGTCCAGGAGGCTCGAGTCGGGGTGATCCGGTAGGGACCCCGTAAGCACAGTTTAGGGTTTTTGTTTTCACGACCCTAGGGTTTTAGGGTTCGGGGTTTAGGTTCTTCAACCAACTCGGGTTTACTTACTTGGGGAAGTACCCTAAACCCTAAACCCTGAACCCTAAACCCTAAACCTTAACCGACTACAAAGCGGCCTGGAAAAGGAGAGGGTTCCTTTGACACATCCGCAGAGGAGCCAATTCGAAGCAAAGCTTTCCCTGTGAAGCCCTAACCCCTTCAACCACAAAAACCCTAAATTCCTGAAACTGCATCACCCCAAGCAACCTTAAACCCTCAGTCACCCTACAAGTAGTCCACACCAAACCCCAAACCGGAAAAAGGGTTCCCGAATCACTGGAGAAACCCCCCCAGAAAACCTTTCGAAGCCCTGGGCTTTTGCAGGCTCCCACCTTGGCTTGGGCGTCTGCGCCTGGAGCTTTGGACGCTGCGATGTCGGACAGACGAGTTTAGGGTTTAGGAGTTTGGGGGTTTTGGAGTTTGAGGTGGTTGGATTTATGTACACAATCAACTTTGAACCCCATGAAACTTCACTCCACCTCAGACGATGCAAGGGCTCCTTGCTCATTGCTGAATGGAAGCCGCTGGCAACCCATTTCTCACGTTTTGAAGGCTTCCTTGGAATTCGTGAGCTGCTTCTGGGCTTGCTGTAGCACATCCGGACGCGACTTGGCCAACATGGTAGCTTCGCCCTAGTCCAAAACTTTACAATCAGCTTAGGACTGTCTCCTGTGGAATGGAAGCTTGATGTGTCGTGTGGCATCTTGAACCACTCGTCTCTATCCACCCAGGTTTACGGTTGGACAGGGCCTTTACTCCCAGGACCTTGACTCCCAGAACTCAGAACTTGCACCCACAAGATAGGGATAGGGCCGGTCTACAAGTACAGGGACACTGAACCTTGCAACGGTGGGGCAGCGCACCTTGTCGGGAAAGCTGCTCCTTGGCATGAACTGCACGAACACTCTCTAGATCCTGGGTTGATGTCTCGCTCTCGTCTCCATAGCTCTCTGATATGTGCATATATCATGTATTTCATATTACATCTGTCAACTTATACAGTACATATAATTACTATGTAAGTTATACGTTATATACTATATGTATATTAGAGATACACACATGTACGCACACGAGAGTGTGTGCGTGTATATATGTGCCTATCTATCTATCTATCTATCTATCTATCTATGTACCGATGTACCGATCTACCCATCTATCTATCTATCTACCTATCTGTCTACCTATCTATCTACCTACCTATCTATCGATCTGTGTATGTGTATGTAAATATGTGTGTATATATATATATGTATGTACGCACGTACGGACGTGCGCACGTACGCATGCATATATGTTTGTGTATGTGATTATGTATGTATGTATGTATGTATGTATGTATGTGCGTATGTATGTATGTATGTATGCATGTATGTATAAACATACATACAAACATACATACATAAATAAATACATACATACATACATACATACATACATAGCATGCATACATACATACATACATACATACATACATACATACATGATATAACATAACATAACATAAAATAACAAAACATGGCATAGCATAGCATAGCATAGCATAGCATAGCATAACATAACATAGCATAGCATAGCATAGCATAACATAACATACAAACATACAAACATACATACATGCATACATACATACGTACATACATGCATACATACATACATACATACATACATACATACTTTGTATGTATATAAGATATATAATGATATATTATGAACGTCCATCCTGAGCTTCCGGCACTCCCGGCGCTCTGCTCCCTGGACATCACGTGGTCCATACCGTGGAGCTCTGCCTGAGCCTGAGAAATCGAAAATACAGTACTAAAATCCCTAACTCGAGAAATCGGCTTCTGTTTCTGCGAAAACCTTGAACCTAATTCTAGAACAGGCTTTGCGGAAACGCCGGTCACAGTTCTGATACTCGAGCCTCGACCATTCGACGCCGCAAGTCCTGGATCTCTGCCTTCAGCTCCTGAGCATGGTCTCTGTGCAATTTGCTGCCAACCGCCTCCATGATTTGGATTTCGCCAGGCCACAGTACGAATGTTCCGAATGTCTGATGTTGTCCAGACTAGACACTTCTCATGTGGAAGTCTTGGCATTATCACATCAGGTGGTTTAGCTACCACATGAGACGAGACTGAATTTGGCTTCGTACCACCATTTCCTCAACGGTCACAACATCCAGACGAGCGGTCCAGTGGGTCTTGTGCAAACGTGCTGGAAACCCTTCGAAGACCCTCATGTTGCCAAGCTGCAAAGATCTCTGCGAAGCATTGGTCGTGTTCGGCGAGCAGCACAGAGTACTCCGCTCGAGCCGAATTTGCGCTCTGTAGGCCTTGCCACCGCGAAGATGCACAAGAGTTCAGGTGCTGTCTGGATGTGAGCAAAGCCAAGCCTAAAGTGTGAGCAAGGAGAGCTTCTCTCCCGACAGAAGGAATGCTTTCTGCTTCGGCTTCCTCATAGCTCCTGGCCGCCGCCGACACTGGACAACGCAAAACACTTCGTCTGCCGCGAGTCTGAGCTAGTGATGGTGTTGACTCTCATGAGCAGTCTCGCAGCACCAGCCATGCCTGTTGTCATCTTGATCCGCCGGATCTTCACAGACAACTTCTGGGACCTCGAAGTACTCTGCGGCCTGAAGACGGATCGGGTACATCCCGCCCAAACGGCAGCTCTCATGCGGCCGAGAGGCATGGCTGCCGTCGTCATCCTGGAAGTGAGGCTTCGATCCGTCATCGTCAGGACACGTTCGGTTTTCGGTGCTGATGGGTGACTGGCTTCAAGAATCTCGAACTGCAGCCAAGCTGGCCACTTTCTGCCGCGCAGCACCAAGGAATCCCTCCCGCAGGTGCATGGTGCGGCATTCCGCGTAGCATCGCGTAGCGTCCGAGGATCTCTTGGAGGGCCGCAGGGCCGGCGCAATTGCAAGCGCCAAGCGAGCGAGTTGCGAGTTTTGGAGGGCCAGAGGCTGGGATGGAGCCGGCCAACCAAGACGGAAACATGTGGAGGACCGGTGGACACAACAGAATTGGTAAAGTGGTGGAATTGCCGAAGGAAACTACGAATCACAGAGACAACGACAGAGTCGACTCCCAGGCCATCACCGGTCCTCCGGCTGTTTGGTGGTCACTGTCAACTCCTGAGCAAGTTAAGCAGCACAGTGCGAGCCCCTTTACAAATGCCCCAGCTGGGGCCAGAGCTTCCAGGAATGCCTTAGGTAGCACGACACGACCATCTGACCACATTGCGCTTTACCAGCATGCCTCTTTCACGATGACAGAAAACTGTGACGACAAGGGGCTTCGATCGGCTGGTCAGCTTGCCACTCTTGCATGGCTTTGCCGACATCGTCGTGGTGCTTTTTAACGGTCTCACCTGCAGCTTTGAGCCGGACCGGAGCGCAAACCGATAACAGTCTCGACATGCCCATGTGACCATCGGATTTCTGATTCTCTGCAACTCGGGTTCCAGCTTGGCCCCTGATGACTTTGCATGTTGTAAAGCCTTTGCTATCAACAGCCATGAGTCCACTTGCGTGCTGCTCACCGAGACTGTGGCACGGGGTTGCCCTCCTCGATACTCCGCATCATGAGCATGCCTGCCTGAGTGTCACAGCAATAGCTTCCTGTGTTTCAGGCCTGCTGTATCTCAGCTCCCGTCCATGTACAGTTCCTGGAAGGCTGGGGGAGGCTTGACAGACTGGGCAGTGACCGGGGTGCCTACAGTACCTGGTGGAAGCAAGATATGCAGAGCAACTGTTTCTCGCCTCCGTGGTTGCCGAGAGCTTGGGCTTCTTCAGGATTTCTTCCCGCGCTTCTGAGAAAGAAATGCCTGACAACTTCTCAGCAAAGTCCACACTTAAAGTCTTAAAGTGGCTGCAGCAGGTTAAACCCCTTGTTCAAAAAGTTGAATATGCTAAACTTGCTGCTAAGCCCTACAGTCCCAAAGGACATCCACCTCGAGCGATGTCCGAGTCGGTTTCGGCATCGGCGGCAGTGTCGGCCCCCGCCTCGAAATCTCACGAAAACTTGAGTGTTTAAAGCGGCAGGGTTGTTAGAGGTATAGGATGATTTAGGGTGGTTTGGGGTTCTCTTTAGGGGATACCTTTAGTGAATGACGACGCTTCCTATACCTGTACTATAGGTGCATTTGGGGTTTAGGGCTTAGGGGCCGCAGCAGGGAACAGCTCAAGCGGCAACTGTCAGACTAACGCAAGAGGGCAGATGTTCCAAATGTTTCAAATGTGTGCCACAGGTGCAATTAAACCAGCAACCATGAACCTTTTAGGGTTTAGGGTTGTTTAGAGCTTAAGGGTTTTGGGAAACCGTAAAACTCCGAACCGCTAAACCATGCTAAACCCCACCTTGAGCCCTTTAACCCCTGCAACCCTAAACCCTAAGCCCCTTCCTACTTCTAGAACGACTGCAAGGTCCAGGAAGCGGGCCTTCGACGCACTCTCGAAGAGCTTCCTCCATGCCCCAAAGGATATATCATATACTTTATTATATATCTATATATATATAGTATGTATTACATAGTAGATCCTATTCTATATTGTATTATATATGGTATTATATTATATTATATTATATTATATTATATTATATTATATTATATTATATTATATTATATTATGTTATGTTATATTATGTTATATTATATTATATTATATTATATTATATTATATTATATTATATTATATTCTATTCTATTCTCTTCTATTCTATTCTCTTTTATTCTATTCTCTTCTATTATATTATATTATATTATATTATATTATATTATATTATATTATATTATATCATATTATATTATATTATGTATATTATTCAAGATAAGTGAAGGTGGGAAGTGGGAAGACCCCGTCCTCAGGATCTGATACCTCGGAGCGGCAACTGCGCATGCCTACATGCTCGGCGTCCATCCGCTGCACATGCATCGAGGCTCGGGCAAAGAGGACGCCTTCCTCCGGTTCACGAACGTTTCGGATCAGATTGCGCAAGACATCGCTTCAAGGCTTTCCGAAGCTCCTCAGCGCTGTGTGTCTGACTGCCCGGGACTGCTCCACCTGTAAGCGGACATCTCGCCAGGCACTCCGCACAGCAGTAGAAGCCTCGAGCATCATCTCCCTTACGGCTGCCGAGAGGAAACCGATGTACAGAAGTCCTCGCGCAAGCCGTAGGCGGAGGGTTTTGCAGCCAGAAGCAAGCAGAAGCAAGCAGCGTGCTCCTTTGGAGCCTTCTTCCTCGTCCATGACCACTTGCTCAAAATCATTCTCGACGCCGACCTTCCGAGTTCCACACCGCCACTCCGCAGCAACTCCCCGCTTTCCGGTCTCAGGCCACAAGGCCTCGCTCCAAGGCACCAGGCCCTGGGCAGCAGCCTCAAAGTAGCGCTCCATCGCATCACTCAGAGCAGCCTGAAACAAAACGGGGCATGTGCAGGTTGCGCGAAGATGCCGAAGATGCCCTAAACCACACAATCCCCTTGCAACCCAGCAACTCTCAAAGAGCGTCGGGAGCTTCTGGAAAGGCCCGATATGTCAAGCTCTTGCGTGTGGACGTCCTCAGTGCAAAGGAGCTCGAGTCGAGTCTGAACCGCTGTCTACGAAGTCGCGACTTTCACGAACCGAATGGTCCGACTGTGCTGAGCTCGGGGCGTAGACAACCTGAACAGGTGTCACAGGTCTTGACAGGCAAATGCTACTTAGATGTTAACATTGTGAAAACCATCTCGGTGGTCGGTACTCCGGAGGGTCAGCCCATGGTAATAAACATTTCATCATCCAGTCAAGTGACTCCACGATCTCCCATAATCTGTTCTTACAGGTACTTGCGGACAGCGTGAAACATCCGTGATGTGACTAACCAACTCTTGAGTCACAAGCAATGGGGTGTCCCTGAAGGCACCTGGAGCAAAAACCCACCCAGGAGCAGAAAGCCCCGGGCCAGGGTGCGGCTAGCAGCGGCTAGCCGCCCCCCGACTCAGTCGGGCGAGGGAAAGACAGCCCCGGCCTAGGATCTTGTCGGGTGAGCGAAAGACAACCCTGGCACCACGAAGCACCATGGGGTCTGGCCGCGCCGCCCCCGGCTCAGGCGGGCGAAGGACGAGGGAGGATCGAGCGTGAGTGAAAGTGAAAAGCTGGAAAGCGGATCTGCGCTAGGCTGGGCACTCACTGCTCAAGAAGGGCCAGAAGGGGTCCGCGGCTCTCCTCGCCGACCTCCGGGAGACGGCGGAGCCGCTGCAGCGTCACGCTGAGTGATTGGAGGTGCATGCTCGCCAGGTCTTGACCGCAGTGGGGCCCTCCAGCCTCCATCCGTGGCTTCGGCAACGAGCGGAACAAACTGCAAGAAGGCGGCAGGAAGGTATACACGTCAGCTGGTCGCCGGCCGGAGGGCAGGAGCCCGTCTCGCAGGCGCCAAGTTCGGCAGGGCGAGGCGGCAGCAGCCCTAGCTTCTCAAACCTCGAGCTCAAGCCAGCAGAGGCGGCTCGGGTGGCGACCACAGTCCGGAGGCGGTTCTGCCCTTTCACCCTGTCCCCTTCACGCGGACAGGCGCGGGCATGGTACTCGAAGCGGCAGTCCCGTCCAGTGAACTTGGCTTAAATCATGTCATCATGCCAGCCCAAACAATGAAAGAGCATCCTGCAGCCTACACACCCAAGAAACATCCAGGGGCGCCCCAGAGGCGCGAAACCATGGCAGAAGCGCGATATCGAGTTTCGCGAAATTGCGGAGCCCCGTATACGTTTACAACATGACTGCGGTGGAATTGCGAGACCACCGCGAGAAATCCCGAGAGGCCTTTCGGACACTCATCGAACTTTATTGCGAGCGATGTGAAGGTCACGAAAAGGCACTGGACCCAGGCGGAAGCACGGATACGCACTGCCCTGTGGGGCGGAGTGCGATTCATGGTCGGAGCGGATCCACTACTACTACTACTACTACGACTACTACTACTACTACTACTACGACTACTATTTATACGACTACTACGAACACTACTAACCAGAACACGACGACGACGAGGACGACGGTGACTACGACTGCGCCTACGACTAAGACAACGACTGCGTCTGCGACTCCGACTACGACTGCGATTCCGGCTACTCCACCTCACCGGCTCCTCCACCTCATCCTCCTGCTCCTGCTACTACGACAGCACACATGACTTAGCGCAACATGCGCTGCAACCTCTTGATTTCAACGCCTTGCTCTTGGAGGCGGAGCAGCTGATTGCTAGAGCTCCGTACGGCAGCTTAGACCGCTTAGATAACTGATCGAGACATCCTACAACACGGAAACTAAAAACAGAAGCCTTGTCCGACTGCATGTCCAAGAATGCATGCAGCCATTGCAAAGGCCGAAGGAGACCTTCTGCGTCTGGCGCGTACCTGAATGCGACATGCACGACGCATCAAGCTCAGTGGGACAGGTTTCTGAAGCCATGCCAAAGTTGCCGGATACTCTTGATCACCTCGGCAAGAAAAGTCGAATTGACAGGACTTCCTTGCCTTGTGTGAGTGTAGACAAGCAACTGCATTGTTGATCAGAGACCATAGCACCACAAAGAAGAAGTAGAGGTTTGCAGGTATCTGCAAAGCCTCATCTGCACGCATGTTGCTCAGACACCGTACCGAATGCGCAACACTGCGAAGCGGAGACGTGGCTATGGCCGACTTATCGAACAGGAAATTCTCACAGCGCAAGGCCCGGCTCTTTGGGCTATGCCACTCTCCCTATGCCGACCAATCCTCAACATTTGTAATTTGCACTGCTGTTGCTATACCACTTGACCAGCGGGTGTCTGAAAGCATTTTTATTGGACTTGAGAGGGTGCCGGCACAAAGCAGCAAGCAACAGCTGATCAAAAGGGCGGTCAATGCTAGATGTTATGGTCGCCACCTAGATTCAACTTGGCAGAGAAGTGTTTCACAGAATAATCTGTTTGACGCACCCTCGGTGAAGGGGTTCACACACTTTCGCCTGAATGCTTCGAACCGTGTATTCACATGTTCCGATAAGCCATTGAAGCCATGCTGGTATACTAGATACTCTAAATGTACATGCAGGCAAGGTGCCATTGAACTGGCACTGGTCCGACTCAACACTGCGATCGAGCTTCGATTAAGATTTTTAGCGCATTCGCACGAAAGTGTCAGTGTCTATATGCTAGCAGCCTAGTCTCATGAAAGTGGGGATGCAAGGAAGGGTTTGGGGAAGCGGACGGGATGCTTATTCCACATGGCCTCTGAGCCTTCCTTCGACAGAAATGGCATGGCCTTCATGGTTGCTTCAAGCCCTGCTGCTTGCTGGTTGCATATCACCGGTCAACATCAGGCGACGAAAGCAGAAGCCCAATCTGCTATGGGGGTAGGGCGTTCGTTGGCATTCGTGTGGGTTCTCCACCCGGTCCAACACGACAATGCCTCTGCCGTTTCAGACCGTGGTCCTCGTGCCCCAGGCGTGTGCGACTTGGGCGCTGGCTTCGATGAGCACAGAGAACTGGGCGAAGACGCCACTGGAACCCCTTAATTACAGCATGGGAGCACGACTTCCTGGGGGTGCCTTACTACATTCCATAGCATGGAAAGCACCTGCGACTTGGAAGCAAACACGGGAAGAGCTCTCTCTGCCGGCTTTTCTTACACTTGGCATCACGATGCCCGTGCAGGACAACCCGGCTGCGAACGAGACACCAGGGTGCGCCGATCATGATGTTCGCAACGGCCAACAGCTGGCAGGCAATGCCTAGGTTTGGGAGCTTTTGGTATCTGGCCTCTGCCTCGTCCCTCTCTTTCTGCCTTTCTAAGCTTTCTGCCATGCGAGTTCTCAGTGTCCTCTTTTTGACTGTGGATCGTTGCCATTATCGCAGTCGGGTCCTGGAGGCCTGCTTGGAGCCGCGGGAGATGCCTCTTGGCTTGCTGTACGTAGGAGTATCGCAACTGGCCCCACCGACGTTGCAGCTTCACCGTGGCACAACGCTGTCAGCTGACGGCTTCTTCCATGTCCTGTGGAACCGAAGCTTCACGTGTTGCGTGTGTGATGTTGAACACATACCGATAGGAATAACACGTACCTATATAGGAATAGCAGACTAGACTAATTACCTAGGAATTAGACTGAGTCATCACGGCCTACAGCAATGCAAAACTTCGTCGTACGAGTAGTTCGCTGATAAGCTCCTGTGGCTACGGCCTCTGATACCTCCTGAGCTGGGTGCCCGCCGCTCACACGCAAAGAAGATGTATGATTCTGGCGGCGGCTGAGCTACCGGTCACTTCCAGCCTCAGCAACACCTTGGGCCCACTGAAGCGTGAATTCGAGGCAGAGCAGAAACATCGCTCTGAGGCCAGGACTGAATTGTCTCGTTTGTCGTAAGGCCTTGTCCAACTCAAGACCAAGCAGGCGATGCAGTACACGCCGAGAAGACCTCGGCGCAACAGTTTCCTCGCTTTCCATGGTGCCAGTGCGCAGGCATTTGCAGGGTTTCGAAGTGTCAAGGAGCCTTGGAGACGCAGGAAGCGGCCCAAAGTCAAGATTGCTGACAGGATGGCGGCTGAATCCTCAGAACCGGCTGTCAGCATCAAGAGTTAAGACAAGCAATGATCGGGTGGCTTTCCTGTCTGGGACAGATCGCGTCCGAGCGACAGTCACCATCAGTGTGAGGAGGCCGGTATACAGATATGCTGGCCTGCCGATTTCCACAACGCTTCATGCCAACGCGTTCTCGCTGGCACGGCGAGGATGCTGCGCTGCTTTGCAAGCCCATATCCGTTGTTGTTCCTCAAGCCAGAAAGTCCCTCGCGATTTCGAACGATCAGCCTACGCTGCTTGGAAAGATGGTGAACCCAGGGTCTGAAGTACTTTGAGGCAGTTTGCTTTCAGTGGTTGCACACTCGAGGGCCCAGCCTTGCGCCGTGCAAAAAGTATCCCACTGCCCTCTCCGACAGCCAGCTCTCGCTGTACCTTTAGCGAGGCCAGAAAGAGTTGCTCGACGTGCTTGGGTAGATCAAGTGACTAAGACTAGGAATGCAGGCAAAGATTCAACCTTGGTGCGTCTTGTTGTGCGTTCTTCACTAGTGTGCCAGCAGCGCTCTTCTCTCTTTCTTCGTCAAACGCGACTTCATTTCGGATCTTCTCTGCTGGCAGCAGCGACTGCAAGCCATGCCGTGCAACCTTTCCGCAAGATCCTGTGCGGAAAAGCCACGTGGCTCGCACGATAAAGAGCCAGCCACACGGAATCCTTAGTGTCGGGGTCTAGAGTAAAGTCTTGTCTGGAAAGAGGTTGAGGCTGCTGCGCCAAGCCATAGGCTGCCAATCCTCCCGAAACATTAGAATCCACGGAAGGGCTTGCGAGGGTGCTTCAACTCCGTGGGCAGCCTACGACTGCGAGAATCAGCCACGGTTGATGCGAGGGATCGTCACATGTCAGGCCGAAGTTCGACAGCAGAACATTCACCTTGTTTCAAGGCCCAAGGAGTTCAGGCTTTTCCTAGACCTGGCATTTCTCTAGGCTACGGACAGGCCGCGGGTAGTCGACGACCGTAACGGCAGCGACCTTTTCACGAAATGGCCGGCTCCCATCGCTTGCTACAAGCAACGTCTGCGGCCTGCGGGTCCAGGCATAGAACAGCACCGAGCATGTTGTAGACGGACATGGGCAACAACCTCAAGTCTCATGCAATCCGGGGAAGGGCAAGGCCGACACAGGTGCAGCACTGACCAGTTGGGATGAAATCATGGGGGAGAACGGTGCTAAAGGATGCGCAATGTCGATGTGTCAGGTGCCAAGACTTGACTGATCCGAGGCAAGCAGCAAGTGACACCAGATCATAGATGCCTCAGACAGCTTTGCCAGAAGCCTGCCAACAAGGGTATTAGAAGTTAGAAGCCTGCACACCAACACAAACACACGCGCATGCCCGCAAGCATCATGCACGCACACACACACACAAACATAAACATAAACATATATATACATATATATATATATATCCTTGTGTATACGTATATATGTATGTATACGTATAGTATAGTCCGATCTTTTCGTATGTGGAGTCCAGGCGTATGTGCGTGCGTGTATGTGTGTATGCATGTGCATAAAAATAAATATGCATATATATATATACAGATGGACAGGTAGATTTATATTCATATGTCTGTACACACACAATATATATATAGATACAGATATAGGCATAGAGACCGATATGGATAAAGAGATAGCTGCATGGCATGCATACATACCTGATACCTGCATACATACATGCATACATGCATACATGCATGACATAACATGACATGACATGACATGACATGACATGACATGACATGACATGACATGACATGACATGACATGACATGACATGACATTACATCACATACATACGTACATACATACATACATACATACTTACTTACTTACTTACTTACTTACACACATACATACATACATACATACATACATACATACATACATACATACATACATACATACTTGCAGACTTACTTACATACATACATACATACATACATCCGTCCGTCCATCCATCCATCCATCCAT